GGAATGTGTGCGCGCGCGCGCGTGTCTGTTCATTAAGGACGGATTTATACCGAGTACTCCGATTATCGGGATTACATCGTTCCGGTCGAATGTCATAGTCATTTCGCTCGACTGTAATTGGAATCTTAGCGAACTCACGGCGATATCGGATGGACGGATCGCACGAGGCACGTTCGCTCGAGCGTCAGATAACGCGCGACGCACAGTCACTTTTCGAATGGTCGAATATCTTTGTTGTAAATAAAGCTGCGAGAAAAAAGAAATGTTTTTTTCAACGGCAAAATATTCCTCAGAGACCGGCATCACCCTCCCCGCCTCCCTTCCCCCGAAATTTCATTTCGCGTCGCTCCACGGCATTTAATCTTTCGCCCGCCGTTTAAATAAACGTGTTCCTCTCTGTCAAAAGGGACAGCCCTTTGGTCTGGGGATTACATTTAAAATGTATCGATTCGGCGTGAATGTGGAATACGCGCAACGTTATTTGCGCGTTGGCTCGTTTATACGTGCTACCTTTTCTTCTCTCTCTCTCTCTCTCTCTTTCTCTTGTTTTATTTTATTTCAACAAAATCACGAGTTCGGGTCAACGATTTCCGCTCGTTAGTCGAGCAATAATGCCTCCATACGGCGTACTCAACGCAATCGGCTGTTGAGAGCGAAACGATAGATGAACATCGTTGGGCGCGAGTCGGCGGGCCGTAAGGAAAAAAAATACAGAGATCAGTAATGCAACGATGGTCAGTGCAACAACGCAACGACCATGCAGAAACGCGTGCGCGCGCGCGCACACAGCCGCAAATGACATCAGGATAATTTTCCAGCTCGAAAATCACGGAGCCGAGGCAGTCCACCGTGAACGCAACGTGCCGCTGACACTTCAACAAGTGGATACAACACGGGCGCACGTGTCGCCGACAGTTTTGGTCGTGTGTGTGTGTGTGTGTGTGTGTGTGTGTGTGTGTGTGTATGTGTGCGTGTGCATGTATGCGCGCGTACATGCGTATCGCGCATACATACTATATACGCGAGACGCGAAATAGGGATAAAAGTGCCGCGCGATAGAGAAAGAGAGAGACAGAGAGAAAGAGCGAGTGCAAGTTCGTCGAACCGCGGTCGTGAAAAGTCAGGGCCGTTGATGCAAATGCAACGGCGGTGGCGGTGGCTTAAACCGCGCGTTTAAATATTTTTAGCCGCCACCCACGCCACGGAGCCCCTGCGATGCTTGGCGTTGGTTACGCGCTGGCAGTTAGTGTTATTAGCATCATTGTTGCGCGTTGTATATCTCTCGGTTACACACAGAGACGCGCGGGTGACGCGCAAGTCCCAAGGCGGTTGCGAGAAAAGCCAGAGGGGGTGCATTAGCGGCGCGATGGCGATTCGGAGACTTCGTTGCAGCGCGATATCAGATTGGCATCGTTTCAAGCCCGAGCTGCTTGTCCTTACGCGCTTCTGTCCGCTACGATCCTGCTTGAAGATTGACGAAGATTTATCGAGCTCACGTGTGCATTGCTCCGCGCGCGATTGTTCGTTACTCGACGATTTTTGTGCCAAAATTTTCAAGCGCGCCTTCGACCCGAAACGAGTTGCGCGCGTCGAATGGAAGCGCGAGTTTTTCCGCGAGGCGATTCATCACCGTGATGGCGAATTGCGTCGGGAATCGTTTCGAGTGCGCGTCGAGGCTGTCTTCAGCATTCATGGCTCTCCTGGTTGCACTGAAAGTATTTTCGATGCGTCCGTACTCGGACCGGCTGTCATAAATCGACGTGTCCAGCTGCGAGCGTGGATAATCGCGCGTGGCGAGATGCAGACGGCGGATAAGCCCGATCGAGTAGAATCCGGTGGAAATAACACATGAAGAAACGAGCGTGCAAAAAGCACACCGCGAGGTGACTTGCGCACGAGGGAGAGAGAGAGAGAGAGAGAGAGAAAGGAACCGCGTGAAACGAACGTTGGGAGGAAGCCGAGGGAGAGACCCGTTATGGTGACCGTGTTGCATCGCATTAACCAGTCGACCGAGTGATCCTGATCCGATCTCTCACCTTGATGGCCTCCTTCTGCCCTCGACGAGCTTCTCCCATCACGATGGCGATCTGCTCGTAATGATCATGCTTGTTACGCGCCTTTCAATTATGACTCACGACGTATGATCGCATTTTCCACGGCGCGTAGCGTGCGCTGCTGTCAAATGATAATTCTACTTTAGACAGCCGGAAAATAACAGATTTTTATGAATTTTTTTTTCAAAGAAATGTGTAAAAAAGTCAATATAAAGTTTCTTTTATCATGGGCGTTTTAATGTAAAAATTATTAAAACGAAAATTGGAATTTTCATTCAGGTTTTGTTGCCGAACGCCTCTAATTGATAGACTATATTGCAGCTCGTGCAATAATCTGAAAAAAGGAATTAAAGAATTTAAAAAAACCGTATTAAACTTTCTAGAGAATGAATCATTCGGGAAATTGCTCCCTCTAGAAAATTTTGAAAAATTTATATTTTTTCCAAGATATTAATTAAAAAAAAATGTTAGATTATTTGTGACTTCGAAGTGTCATCATTTTATTAAATTTTAACTTTCTATATAAAAAAAATTTATTCTCCAGCAAATTTGATATTTTTTCTTAAATTTTTACATCCCATTTGTGTCGGATTATTATACGACATGTAATATTGTCTATTTGTTAGAGGCGTTTAGCTGCACCGCACTCAATATAAAAAATCTAGACGACAGAATTACAAATAAAAATAATTTTTTTATACTTGAAACAAAAACAAATAGTATGATCAAAACTCTCGATGTCTCTATCCATTTCTCTGAAAAGAATTCGTAAAAGTCTGTTATTTTTTCGACTGTCTAAACCAGAACTTTCCATTGAGGTTTGACCGAAACATTTCATTCGAATTTCCCGCGAGCAATCGTCCACGAGGATGCAATTGGCGCACGCGATTCGCTCGCATTCTCGGCCGCGACTCAGTAGTTTTTATAATTACGCATGGCTGAGTGGACTTTAATTAGTTGCGGCGGGCAACGAGCCGCGGGCAAGAAACGAGCACAGCTCGCCTGAAATTTAGTTCAATTATAATCGTTTGCTTGCGTACGGGCGATTTATTCGCATTGTATAATTATTTTGGCAGCCGTAATGAGGCGACGCGTTAATTAGGCTTTATTCTGCCATTATTCGCGCGCGTCGATATTCGTCGAGATAATTAGGTATTTTATTATTCTACTAGGAGTTAAAAGCGACGTTGTACCGCGAACAGGTGTACGGCGAATCGATAAATCTGCTCGCTAAAACCCTCTCACGAGGCGTGAACGATAAACGTTTATCTCAGTTCTTCAAGAGAGAGAGAGAAAGAGAGAGAGAGAGAAAGACTAACTTCCGGTTGAACGTTGCCAAGCTAAACGACTATCCGATCTTGTGGTAATCCAAAATCCCTTCGTACCTGCGCGAGCACGGAATCCCGTTGAGGACATAACGTACGTTTAATAACCCCATACAAAATTTCTTAGGATCTAATTGGGAGTCAGCTCGAATTCCCAAAATAATTATAAAAATAATTATGGATTCTGATCAGAAATATGATGTTACAAACATGCGATTCTAAGTCTAGAAATCTCCAAAGTTTTCTCAATATTTTTTCTGGTTTCCAATTTAAATTCATTTTTAGTTAATAAGAACTTCAACTTGAACAGTTGCAAATTTTGGTTAACCAGAATCTTATTGACTTGAATAGAATTCTCATAATTAACTAGAATTCTGTTTTGTCCATACTTTTGGTTAATCCAACAACAATTTTTTCCGTGTAGAGAATTGAATAAAACATTGACTTTCAAATAATTTTGTTATTTAGTAATTTCAAAGTATTTTAAAAATATCTTTTTTATATTTCATTCTACTAAATATAATAATTAATATAAAAGTGGGATTTCCTCTTTGATACCATAAAGTATAACATAAATACAACATAAACTTTACAACATAAAAATATTTAACCAAAAGTATTAAACTAAAAGTATTTTACCAATTGAAAAAATGCGCTAGTTCCTATATTTTATCTCGATTCTAGATAGCGAATTCATATTTGGGATAAAAATGGGATTCCGAATTGATAGAGTATCAGAGTGGGATAATCAATTTTGAGATAAATTTGTCCCATTCCAATCAGAATCTGTGCGCTGCATCTCTAGGGAAATCTTGGGAAATTTCTATGCGAGACGCTTGATCACTGTTTATAACAATCGTTGCGTCCACTCTCGTAGCGGTTCTACGCGCGTATCCGCATTCTATCGTGCAACATGAATCGCCAAGTGGAATGCTCGCGCGGATTCTAGGTATTCTTTCTTGTGACTTTTTCAGCGTTAACGTCGTGAAAAGAAGGAAAAGGGCATTCCACGCGTTCCGGAAATCTACGAAGGCCGACGGCGTGATGTTGCCAGACCCTCCGAGGATACCTAACCTATGAATCATCAGTTTTGAAATTTCAGATATCCGAGACACGAGATCCGCAAAAGGTTCCTCCTACCTGCTCGTTGAACCATCAAAGACACGCTTTGTAAAGATCTTATCAAATAACCGACCGTAAGAAGATACCTTAGCGTTACGTAAACGAGTTATCGATCGATGTCGCATCCACCTATCGTATTTCCCTTTTGTCCATTTTGAGCTATATTAATTAAATACTGTCGCGTAAGATTGATAACGTTGTAATCCGAGTCAGCAAAAACACGAGAATAGAGAAACGAATCTCAGCATTCGCGAGACTCGGGCTGTTATGTTGTAATTGGAAATTATTCGCTCTCAAGGTTTGCTCTCTTGGTTGAGAGCATAATTAATTACGGATCTGCAATTACTCTTCCGCTTTCTCACGAGCGTATTAGTCCGTACACGACGAAAGAGCATCGTGGCTTCTTGTAAATTTATCAAGCGCATGTCGTAGGCATATTTTAAGACGCACTCGTCTCTTGAGAAAAGAGCGAGAAGATGGGAAATAAATCACGACATACCTGAATGTCCACCAGATGTTGAAGCACATCGTATTCAGCCAGAAGAAGGCAGCCAAGAAGAAGAAATGCGCCATGATCGCTGGAAACATAACAAGAAAACAGGCTTCGTTATTGCTAGTTTTGCAAATGCTTAAAGCAGCTTAAGAGAAGAGCTTGGCTCCCCATCCCTTACAAAAATATTGTACGACGTCAGAGAACTTTTCGCTTCGTTAGTCGCAGATATCGAACTTTAATGATCGAAAAAAGGGAGCGAGAATCAGATGTATTCTATCTATACTATTGTGCATGTCTTGTTGAATTCTTTGCAGTTGAATGTGTTTTTGCTCGCGCATACCATTCGCGTAACAATGGCTGCATTCATCAGAGAAAGCTGCTTTGCGACTGTTATGAAATTTGTGAATCTAATTGGTGAATCTACACTCTTAATCTAGGTAGAATCTAAGAGCATATATTAATTAGATTCACGAATTGCACAACAGTTGCATAGCAGCTTTCTCTGCTGAAAACAGGAAAAATCTCGCATCAATTCGTATTTCAACACTCACGAATCCCAAGCACCGATCCCCTTTTTGATCATTTATCCCGACTCCTAGCAGACTCTAGGCACTTTGTAGCAGGTAAACGAGCTCTCAGAACAAAGATCGCGCCGTTGGTTTTCCTAGATGCTTTCTCAAAGATTCATAAACTGGTTGCCCGCAGAGAAGGGAAATTTCGAGCGTGCGACAGGCAAAGGGTCAGGAGAAAACTTTGGGGGAAAATGGTGAAGTGGGATGAAGAAGGAAGAGAAAAAGGGAGGAAGAAAGAGAGAGAGAGAGAGAGAGAGAGAGAGAGAGAGAGAGAGAGAGAGAGAGAGAGAGA